GCTTTCGATAAACATCGACTTCACATCACTGCGGTTGTTCTGGCTATTTCACACAATTAACAAGAAAATTATACCTTATTATTTTACATAATCATGCAATGAAAATAAAAATTACATAAACCGATGATCAAACTTGACACTATTTAATAAAAATGTAATTTTTCCAAAATATCGTAAAGAAAAATCGATACATTTTCACACTCGTTTTGCTATATCGTAAACCAAGTCGAAACTACTTAGTAGAAGTCTGAAATGCGACTATGAATAGGGGTAAATTTTAAGTTGGTACTTAAATTTAAGTTGCAACTTTGTTAGTTTCGACTTAGTTGCTGGACTACGAATACGCGCCTATTAAAATATATAATTTAACTTAATTATTAAACAAACACATAGTTTTATCAACCTAAGATAGATTATTTTGTTACTAAAAAGAATTTGTCAATCTTTGCGAACTGAAACGCGCGATTCCAAATTAGCTATAGTGCTGCCACCGTATTAGTATTTCGTAATAATTCACTTTTCCTTACAAGGTGTGTGCAGTGTTCAATGCTTTTCGGTATCTTCTTTCATTTAATATATATATAAATGAATATTTTTAATAAAAAATGGCGCGATTATTTTATTAAAAATTTTCGCCTACGGCGCTTTTTCCATAAAAATCAATACTTCGATAAAAAAAACTGTAAACCATAAAAGTAGCGCTGCCATGGTGTAGCGAAATTTGCTATTATATTTTGGTTAGAATATTTTATTTAGGTGAAAGTAAAAAAAGAAGAAGTGTATAGTGTAAACTGAGTGTAATAGCGCAAATGAAATGTGAAATAAAGTAACAATACCAGCGATTTGAGGTTATAATAATTTTGGCAGGCGCAAAGTTTGTTTTACAGGTCTATTCTGCACGTTACCGGACATTTTATTACCAGTAAATTTTATTACCGAAAAATGTTACCACTTCTTGTAACCGGCATTCTGGCATACTGGTAACGCTGTCAACAGTGCGAAACTCAGCATCCGCCGTTTGTTTGCGTGTGGTAGAAAATTGAATTTCAATTTACAAGCAAAAACAAGATGGAGATGAACATGTAAGTAATACTCTGAAGTATTTTGGTAAATTTTAAAGCAATAATTAATTTTTAATGGCAGGTAATATGCGAGAACCACCCAATCCCAATTGCGTTGGTATGTCAGCTTCATAAAAGACCATCCCCAACTGCTACAAGGAAAGAACTGCCCCACAGCGCCACATCTCATCGCAGATATGTGGCTGGAGATCGCGACAAATTTAAACGCTATGGTGGGGCCCACTAGAAGCTCCGATGCTTGGAGAGAGGTAAGAAGCACTATCTTTTTAAGCACATGTTTGTAGATATATTGAAAATGGCGTATAATTTTAGAGCCTGCGAAATTGGCGCAAGCAGTTGAGGTCACGTGCGCGCAAAGTGATTGCCGAGCGGAATAAGACGGGTGGAGGGCAGAACCCAGTGTCGGAGCTAACAGAGTTCGAGCAGCAAGCCCTAGAAGCATGGCTGCTGTGGAGGACCACTCAAACTCCATACTTGGATTCCCGGT